TACAGCACAAAACGCGTAAAAAGGGAAAAATTAGGTTTAGCTATACAAACGCTACATATTTTCGCCAAGAAAATGCAAAAATCAGATGCGAATTCGTGTGAAAAAACAGATTCGATTCTATTAAAAGGCGCTGAGCGTGGGAAGTCTCTTTTCCTTGTTTGATCAATAAATTCGCAATATTAGCGCAGAAGAAGTTACAACTGTTGTGGGCATGAAAAAAAGCATAAAGTGAAAAATACCAGTTTACTGCTGAGGCAAGTTGCAGCACATCGAAGCAGCATTTCTCGATTGCTAGCAACATCGGTGACTGGTACAGCAAGCTCCTTTAGCCGACTCACTGCCTAAATTAAAAAATAGATAGCATCAAAACTACTCCATACGTATGAGCTGCGTGCAAGGCAACACTAGATGAAGATGATAAGCCTGACGAGGACAAATCAGCTGAAGACGGTCCATCGCAAAAGCTTGTTAACATAATGTCATAACAACATCAATCACCTTCAAAAATTACACGCGCGGAGAGAAATATTTCAAGTCGTCCAGTTTTTGCCTTCACGTATCAGACGCCCACTCTTTCAGTAAAAAAAGAAAAAGGACGATAAAACAACCGCTTGAATCTACAACTTCTTCAGGCAATTAAGACATCCCTACAAAAATTTTGCAGCTAAAAAAATTTTAAAGCAAACCTCATCACAAGCTTTTCCATAAGCGCGAACTAATAATTGTGGGCCTACGCCATCTTCAATGAACGGCTTCGAACGATTCAGAAGCTCGGCTGCCAAAATAATAACTGAAAAGCGGAGCACAGATGTGCGATCAGTTCGGTACGGTACATTTCTGTATTCAAAAGTGAATGTCAAATGTGGCGCCTAACCAGCAAAGCAACTCTGATTTCCAGGCAGCCAGCTCTGCTAGCGTCCGTCGCGACTGCTGAAACCCGGAACTAAACTGCGCAATTTTATGCCACTTCAAATGCACATGTTTCCCAAAATACACTACGTGGCAGTCTGTGAAAAAAGAACGGCGTCCGGGGACAGAGCTGGCCTAGTAAGCGCAACAGATCCAATTTACGGTAGTGAAAAAAACTGCTAGCCTGACCTGTTGTTGTACCGTCGCCAACTTCAGCATCTTGGCCTTTCGCAATATCAACCATAATCCGCGCCGCCGGAAGGATAACTTCCAGCATGTTCAATATGGTCGATCCATCATTTGATACCGTTATATGATCTGAATTTTTGACGCATACATAAGCACGAGAAAAACCCGGTGCTCAAAAGTTTTTCAAAATCATACAAAAATCTTTACGAAAAAAAGAAATGCCACGTTCAGCACAACTTCCATTTGCCCGACGGGCCGTAATCGCACGCAAGATGCGCCTTGCACTTCATGAAATGCAGTGCATCAGACAGGGCTCAAATGTATCTCATAAAAAAGCAAATAGATGGAAGTGCTGTCAGCCTACCAATTTGTGCTGAAGGCAGCGAAACGCGGATGTGGAACGTGGTCAGTGAGGGAAAGAGGAGACCGAACAGGACAGCGATCGAGTAAATTTATTTTTTGCGAGCCAAAAATCATGGAAGAAAGCGGAAGCAGCAATTTAGACCGCTCACGAGCCGGAGAGTGCGTGCCAGCAAATGGCATCTCAACGACAGCACAACTGCCTCCCTGTACAAGTCAGCACTGAGGGGGCAAAGAGGAAATGAGTGACCTTTGGAGTCGATGATCATTTTGTCCATGCCGCGCGGACCCAGCGTGCTGCGGATGCTGTCTGCAAGCACATTGCATGCGCTGATGTTGCTTATAATCTGCTCCCTGCCGAACTTGGCCTCCGTGCCCTCCTTCAGCAAAATCACCGGCGCATCAAGCATCCTCGCTTCTTTCCACGAACTGCAACAGAGAACACTCCGCGAACATCCTCCTCTGCCACAATCCCCGCCATGACAGCTCCTACTTCCCTCTGCGCACACCTGGTACAGGGCCACACACGCGAAATGAACACGCCCAGCAGGGATTCAGAACTATCAAGTCCAGCAGCGCCCGCAACTCCCATTACTGAGCCCCAGCAGAAAAGCCCGAGGATTCGAGAGCCCTCTGGGAATCCAAATTACACTGCCGCCTGCCAGTTCAGACGGGTCCCTCCATAGAGCGGCTATCCAGAGATGCGGAAGTGGCTTTTGACTGAGCCACAGCTAGCACGCAGGATCTCGGCCAATTGCCTGGTTGAGATGATGTAAGGAAACCCTGAGTGAAGCGTGGTGCCAGCAGCGATGGCGTTCATTATTTGGAAGGGACTGCATGAAGCGTGCCTGCAATAGAACAAGTATCAACGTGGCCACAACGCATCAGTGCGTTCACAGTGAGGCACCTGAAGTGAGTGAGCTCTTTACTGTTCAACATCAAATACAACAAAATTATAACATTTTGAAGGTGGTAACTCAATAAACAGGGAAAAGTAAACGACGAACAAACACACACGCTTCGGCAACAGAACCGACACGTGGTGGACAACGATACAGTGAATGTGCGTTTCTGGAAGAGCCATTGGCAAGGAATGAACGGATCACTGTAAAGCAGCGATACAGACGCAATTCAAACAATCTCGGATGAAACATAAATGAACCGTTAAAAGCAAAAAACAAGAAGAATCGAATGATGTGGGGGCTCGCCTACGCTGCTCCATTTAAACCGCACTGCCCAGCGCCGCACTCCCGACAAAGCACTTTCACTCACAGCGGGTATCCCCCCCAAACCCGCTCCCCCTCGCTGACTGACCATGCCGTGATCAGCGGGCACGGAGTCGCCAGCCTCAGCGCACTGCAAGAGGTAAGTAGCAGTTCCATGTGAGCGCATGTAAAACGGAAGTTCGGAAAATAAAAACGTAGGAACTTATCAAAGAAAGCAACGTTACGCTAAATGTCTGCTTTAGAGAAGTGAACAACATAAGAGCAATATAATTAAGAGGAAGGCTCGTACTTCCG